CCGCCCGCCCCGCCGCTGCGGGGCTCCCCCGCCCCCGCGCCACTCGGTTTTAAACCCGCAGCAGACGGAACTCGACTTAAAAATAACTATTTTGACAGTTCCGATGTAAATATGTGAGTGACGCGTGGGGTTGTTTTTCCTTCACACTTCCCTCCCCCCCTACTCCCTACCCCACCCCCCAGCTCGGCTGAGACGACGGGAGAGCGCCGCCTGCAGGATGCTCCCCAAATTGCAGCAAGAGGAAGTGACTGAGGAGCGGATGGATGGCCAGCTTGGGGCGACCCGGTGGGGACAGCCGCAGCTCACCGCTTGTCGGGGCAGATGTATTTACACGCTATGTCCTATTACCTTACAAGGAGGCGTTTATCGAGGACATGCTTGAGCTCCGTTAATAGGACCTCTCCAACCCACTTTGACCTGTATTAAGTGAATCTCTACTCTACCCAGTGCTGTGCTGGCGACCGAATGTCACATATGTAAAATACATGCTGGCCTTTTGTAGTTCTCTTTCCCACCGACCGCTTCGGTTAACTAAACTCCTGCTTGGGCCAGGCACTGGGCTAAGCAGACATTTGAGCCCATGCTACCTGACCTGATTCGCCAAAATCGTGGGGCAGGTATGTGTCTCACGTAGGGAGAGATGGAAAGCAGAGGCAGGGGCCGCGGTGGAGAACTGGGATGAGAACCAGAGTCTTGTGCTCTGCCAGAGCAGCCGAGTGGAAGGGAGGAGGAAGCGGAGTTCCATCCATTCTACGGGTGGGGAAACAGAGTCCTAGAGAAGCAAGATCACAGGTCCGTCTGTTCGCCAGCATCTGAGCTGGACCAGGCCTGTGCCTGCCTCTCTCATCTTCTGGCCCCAGGCAGTGCGGTATGAAAGGTGGGCGAAGCATGTGAGGTCTTTGAGGTTTGCAGAGAGAGCAATCGCCTGCACGTACGTGTGCCGAGTGTGACCTGGCCAGGCACAGCCAAGCGAAGGGAAGTTCACACTCAGCTCCCAGCCACGCCTTTTCTGCATCTTCCGGAACTAAATGGTGCCCTTGTCCCCTTGCTGGGGCCTGCTGCTGCTCTAATGTTCTTTTCCTGCTTCAAACAGAACCCACATTGGGAAGACCTCTGATGTCATCCCACTGAAGATGTGGAGCGAATGCCTGCTAAATGCTCAGTGCTTGTTTCCCTCCTGGAGGATGACAAACCCCAGGGATCAAAGCCTAAACTCCAGGACAAGAAGCACAAAGGAAATGTCAGGTACGACTCCTGGAGAGGAAAAGATTTGGGGAGCAAGGGGCACACTGTGACCGAAGAGCCTCCTCCCAGCACCTGCTGCGGGACAGGCCTCTGCTGGCTGTGTGCACACAGCTGTGGGCAGAAGTCTGCAGGTATTGGCGCAGAGGAGAAGGGCACCCAGGTCTGTGTGTCCTGAGCATACTTTCCTCTCCATCCTTCAGGGCCCTGCTCAAATTCTCCCTCCTCTAAGAAGCCTCCTCTGATCCTTCCTCACTCCTGCAGCCACGGCCTCCCAGGCCTCTGACCTCAAAGCTCTTTGCTTGTATGCTGTTGGTAAAAAAGGGTTATTATAGCCTGCAGTGTGAATTGTGTACCTGTGAAGATACATCAGTCCTCCAACTCCAGAGTTAAGCTGAGTCTCTGTCCCCCAGTCTAAGTGGAGCTATAAAATAATAATTCCTTTTGAAACAACTTCATAGTACACAATTCACATACCACACGACATAATAATCCTTTTCTTTTTTCTTTTTTCTGGTATCAGGCATTGAACCAAGGGCTTTTGCACTGAGCTACAATCCTAGATCTTTTTAAAAATTTTTAGACAGAGTCTCACTAAGTTGCTAAATTGCCCAGGCTAGGCTTGAACTTGCGATCCTTCTGAAGCTCCATAATGCTAGGATCACAGGCGTGGGCCACCAGCCTGGCTGTGGTTCTTCTTCTTAATGTTACATGATCTTTTAGCATCTTTCTCTCCTTGTAAGTCTCAAATTCCCTCGTGGGTTTTTTTATTTTGTTTTTGGTTTTAGATTTTTGAGACAGGGTCTCATTATGTAGTTGAGACTGACCCAGAACTCACTATGTAGCCCAGGGTGGTCTCAAATTCAGAGCAATTCTTCTGCCTCAGCCTCCCGACTGCTGGGATTACAGGCATGCGCCACCATGCCCGGCTTCAAATTCCCTTGTTTGACCAGTGGTCCTGAGAAGTAAATGTCTTTATTCTACCTTAAATGCCCCTGTAAGTACGTAGCATCATATTGTAGCCCCAAACCTTCTTCCCTGTACCCACTCTGCATCCACTCCAGCCAGTTTTATCCACTTCTGAGATCCTAGGAAGCAGGAGGCTTGGCTTTCCTCAAGTTACACATAGCACAAATGAGGCTGTGAGTTGCAGGGGTGCAGGGTGTCCCCGAAGCCTTCTCCCGTCACCTCACTTATGTCTACACCCCCACTTCCTCCTCCCGCCCTCCATTCTCCCTCCTCTCTGCAGTTGTTGGAAACAAATGTTGAGCTCCTGCTGCAGTGCACTCCAGAGCGAAATAAACACGGATGCCCCATCCACCCTGACAGCATAATTCATTTACTGCAAAGGGATATAATAAAGTCTGTTTATTACAGCAATTAACAGAGCAGTGTTTGTCGGCATGCTTTTCAGTGGCGACCAGAAAAGTGCTTACTCTAGGTGCACAGATTTGAGAAACCATGCAACTTGAGCCAAAATGAAACCAATTAGAGGCTTAGTAAATGGGTGTCGGCCACCCCAGGAACATTAACCATCCAGGATTCAGTTCAGCGGAGGTAGACCCTCAATGCAGGGGTTAACAAGGTACAGATTGCTACTCTACTGGGTTTAAGATATGCACCTGTCTTCAGGTCACGGCCTTGAGGATATACGTGCAATGTACTTCCCACCCCAGCCACCCCAAGTGCCAGGTTCAATTCTCGCTGACCCATACAGGAGCATCCAGGTGGGGGACATTAGCACCATTGACTCTCAGAGATCTTCTGCCACTGCGAAGGAGGTGGGGGACACAGGAAGAGTGGGGACGTAGGAAGAGGACCAAAGGCTGGGTTAAACATTAAACACTGCCTTCCAGGGCCTCAAGAGCTCAAGCTCCAGCCTGGGACTGCAGCTCAGTAGCAGAGCTCTTGCTACCACGTATAAGGCCCTGGGTTTGATCCCAGTACCACAAAGGCACGGGGGAAGACCTCAATAGGGGGAACAGAGCTTTCTAGGTTAGGGGACGTCTGCCTTCCACCCCGGAGCATTTGCACTGTCTTGCTTTGGGTAGAAAGAGTGGACAATGACATCAAGCCAACTGTCCTAGTTCTTTGGTGGAGAGAAAGAAGAAAAGGAAGTCTTGGTTTGGATTCCCCAGTGACGTCAAGTGTTATCTGGCTGTTAATTAACCAAACTTAGTTCTCTCTCCCTTTTCCAGAAGTGAGAATTGGCTTGTACCAACAGGACGTTCCTTAAAACTAGGTCTGGCTTCCCCAGGACAGTCGCCCCGGCGTGATGGTGATGGTGGATGGGGAAACATCCTAGGCTCATGGCAGCCCTATGTGATTTCTCTGCAGCGCCTCCCAGGGCAACCACAGGAGCTTTGATCTCCCAAAAACCTGAAACTGGGTGCCCGAGCTGGTAGCAGGCCAAGACAAAAAGCCCTGTCCAACAGGTCCCCATGGTTAAGGGGTGACTAATAGGGTTCCCCTTTCTGGGAGAAGGTACTGCGTTGAGGGATGAGGGCAGAAGGCAGCCCGGCCTCTTTGGAACGGAGAAAGTCAGAGCTTTGAGCATCATGAACAACGGGATAAAAATAGCAGTGGTGTCATGGCAACAGAGGCTGGGAGAGTTCTGAGGATCTGTCTGGGTCCTGCCATCTCCCCCTCCTGTGCCTTCTTCCTGCCCCCCCCATGGAGCACAGGAATGAACTGAGGGAAGAGGCAGGGCTACCCCCACCCCAGGAAAGGGAGGCAGACCGGCAGCCCCCTAGAAAACCCTTGAATTCTAGACCCTACGGGTTTCTGCCAGATCCCAGGCTTCCCAGATCTGGGGGCTCCTGACTTTGGAATTTCTGGCGCAACATGACAAGTCCCTCCAGGGATGCCCAGGGAGCTCCTACCTCACGCTCCCAGCAGCGGTCTGACCTCCCGGGCTCCCCTGAGGTTCTGACCCCATGGGAATCTAGTAAAGGAGGCCCAGGCAGGACTGATCAGCCATGACCCGAACACAGCAGGCACTGACCACTCCAGGGTGGCCCAGGGATCAGGAGGGTTCACTCGGGCAGGCCAGATGCCCCTGTCCTAAACTCTTTCCCAACCTAGACTTGGGAGCTGTGTGTGCTGGGAACGGGCTGACGATGGTGAGCGTACGTCCCATCAGGACAGGTCCCAGACCTTGGTTATTGTGGTGATTTCTGCCCAATCCCCTGCTGACCACAGCAGCCGCCTTCATGATGAACGTCAGACTCCCCAGACCAGCCTGCCAGGGGCTCACTGCGCAGAGTCCAGCTCTTCCCAGCACTGCGACCTTAGTGTCTGTCTCCAAAAGTCCAAGTCATATCAGGACACTTCCAATACAATGTGTTCTTCTAATGTGTGCCTTCCTGTGAGGTAGGGAGGGAGAAGGACCTACTGCCACCTTTTTGGAGGAGACCGGGAGAGGAGAAGCAATTTGTCATGGACAGGAGTCAGCCTCAGAGCAATGCTAGGGACCTGAGGGATCTCCAGGTGAAGCTGGTCCCCAGCCACTGGGCCTCTACAAATTCAGTCTACATGGTGAGTCCCAGCCTGAGCACTTCCCTCTTGCCGAGGGCAAGGGAGCTTATATCAGCTCAGATGGGCCTGTGGGTAGCTATGCAAAGGCCCGGCGGGGGGGTGGTTACATAACCGGGCAGGGTACCCTGAGATTCATTCTAAATCTCTTGAGCATCTGCAGGTGGTAAAGAGAGAGAACGGAGAAAGCAAGAGTGGGGAGAAGAAAGGGTGCAGAGCTCAACAGCAGCATCTGTGTGGACTAGACAGGCTCTAGAGTCTGCGACCAGGCTACCAGACTTGCTCTGTTGGGCCTGGCTGTAGGAGGAGGGAGAGATGCGGGCCCTGGCTGCCAGAGGAATTATGCAAAAGCGCTGGGCTTCTTGCTTTCCCTCTCACCGCCCCTCCATCTCTCAGCTCTGCCACCCGTGTCTACGCACTCTGCTCACAAACATGCCGTCTTACCAGGTGCAGCCACCGGGCACAGGACACCCACGAGCACTCCGCTTCCCCGGCCCCGAGGCCCACAGAGGCTCAATTCCCCCAACCCACAGAGCCCTGGACACCAACAGGACTCAGAGGACCTCAGTCCAATGCTTTATAGTTGAGGAAATATCATCCCAAAAATAAGGCCTGAGGAGCATAAGGTCACAGGGTGAACAGTGCCCCCAGCACAGCCCCAGAGTCCCACTGTCCACCTCATGAAGATTTCAGTTAGTTTAATTATTGCTCTTTTTCTAAAAATAACAATCTCCCTATATATGTCCATGGGCCCACGTGCTACATTCAAAGAGGCCATTGCCTGGGGTGGAGGAAATTCTCATAAAGGCCTGCAGCCCAAGATGAGAGGTGCCTTGGGGAACATGGGTCAAGGTCCCCGATACCACTCAGGTCACAAGGACCCCAAGCACCATCTACATTTCTTTACCCTGCATTTAATGGCCCACAGCCCAAGAGGGGGAGTGGGCACAGGAAGGCCCCTGTACAGACGGGGAATGTCAGGCCCTCCACCCTTCTTCAAGGAGGTGGTGCCCCCACCCCCAGCATAGAATCATCCACATGTGCACCCCATCACTAGGACAGTCTCCAGAAAAGGACCATGGACTTACTAGGGCAGGAGGACAGAAAGGGCACAATTAAGCTGGGCATGGTAGTGCGCACCTGTAATCGCAGCACTCTGGAAGGCTGAAGCAGGAGGATCACAAATTTGAATCCATCCTTGAAACCTACTGACTTAATGAAACCTTGCCTCAGAAAAAAGAAAAAAAAAAAAAGAAAGAAAACGAGCTGGGGATGTATCTCAGTTTAAAGGCCCTGGATTCAATTCCCAGTACTGAAGAAAAGAGAAAAATTATCCAGTGGAGTGTCTGGGGAAAAGTGAGGCTCAAGAGCAGGCAGCCAGGCCTATCCGGGAAGGGGCGGGAGGCACAGAATCCTAGGTTAGAAGTCGAGGCCCTGCGTGGACTGTGCTGTGCAGACCTAGGGTTACGTTGGCCCTGTAGGGTTTCCACCTGCCCTGGGCCCACCCGACAGCACAGAAACAGGTACAGCTTCTGGCTGCTTCCTAAGAAGCTAAAAGGGGCAAGACTCATCTCCCTGAGAAGGAAACGAAGGGGCAAGGTAACGCGGGGCAAGTCTGCTAGAAGCCGCTGCCATGGGCCACTTCAGCTGTAGCACCCATCCCGACTTTAGCCATGGGTTAAAGAAGGGACCACAGCCAGGAAGCCAAGGACAGCTGCCTGCACTCAGAAGCCTTCATTCACCTTGGGACCCTGCCCAGGTTCACGCTCTCCGAAGGGACTCAGCCCTCCACCAGCTACCTGCCAAACCCCACAGCTGCCACCCCTGCCAAGGGCTCAGGGGTGCATGTGAGGACAGCTGTCCTTTGTCACCCTTGGCCCCAGGGGCTTCTACTCTCCTCTCCTGATCTTTCCTCCGGGTGAGCCCTGCGGTTAGGTCACATCCAACACCTCTGAGTCCCAGGGATACAATTTCATCCTGCCTGATAGCAGAGACATCTTGCAGGCCCCTGCTGGGGACATACACTCTGTGGACGGGCTCCCTGGCTGTCCCCCAGGCAGCTCCCCAAAGCTTTTCTGCCCTTTCCCTCACCTCAGGCCTCTACTGCCCGTGAGGGCAAAGGATCAGGAAGGATTTCAACCACATTGAAAAAAGTCCCTTTCAATCACATTGGCCTGGATTGCTGAATCTTGCTGTTTCCTTGAGAGAAGGACTTCTGTTTATAATTCTTTGGATATAAAAGGAAATAACAGATTGGAGGAGGCTGGAGCTGGGGGGAGGCAGGGGCAAAGGAGGGAGCTGGAGGATGGAAGAGAGAACTCTTACTGTGCTTTGGCCTCACCAAGTCAACCTTGATCCCACCAGATCTGCCCCAAGGACAGGAAGCACCCCTAGTGTGGGCATAGGTTGAGCATGCGGCAGCCAGATTCTGAGGGCAGGGAAGGGGCTCTGCCCTTCCTCAGCTGCCCAGAAAGCCCAGGACAGGAGAGGAAAACCTTCTGTTCTGAGGCGCTTGTCCCTGTACCAGGCCACCTGTGTATAACTCTGTCAGGAAAGCAATTCTGTCCCCAGATGTGGGTAGGGGTGTCACCAAGCCTGTGCTGAGCGTCCCTGTGCAGAAGACAGCCCACTGTGGAAGTAACAGACTCTGCCTAAAGGGCCCTGTCCAAGGGCCCCTTTGGGACCAGGCACAATGACAAGATGTGGGGGTTGCTTCTTACCTCTTGGAAATGGGCTCAGAGAGTGTGGGGGGGGTCAAGACTGAAACTAGAAGACACTGGAATGGGGAGATGAAGGTAAAAGTCCAGGGAAGTCCCTGAGGGCCCCCTACTCCAAGAGTTCCCCTGAAGGCGCCACATGCAAGCATCCCACCCTCTGTGGCTTCTGAGAAGAGAGGTGGGGGTGCAGTAGGGGGCCAAGAAATAAAGTGGGGAAGGACAGAGTTTAGTCCAGGAAAGGGTTCCCATAATCTGCTCTCTGGAAAAGTCCCTAAGGGGAGGCAGCACCTGGGGGACAGGCCCCCCAACTTCTGTGCGGCTGCCAACAAGCTCAGACATCATCAGGGTCGGGGCCAGGGTGTGGACAGACTGCCCCCTCTCAGCATTGACCTTTCCTCTCACCTCAGGCCTGGCCCACCTGGCCCAGGAAGGTGCTGGTGGGGCTGAGAAACTAATTTCCCATGGCTGTGGCTGCTCTGGGTCCTGAGGCCCGAGCAGAGACTCCATCTTGGGCTTGAGGGTGGCCATGGCATATCTCCAACCCTGAGGACTCCTCCATCGGCTGGGCTGCTCCAGGTTCTTGGCCAGAGCAGCCAGTTTCCTGCTTAGCAATTAGCTCTCCTCACATAAGGCAGAGGTCCCTCCAGGGAGTGGATTCCCTGTGAAGAGCCCTGGTGCCCTCAGGGCAGGTGAAAAGCTTCAGACCTTGGCCTCCCTGGGGCCTCTCTGTCTCTGGACAGCAACTGGGAGGCCCTGAGATTCCCTTATGACTGGAAGGAGAAGCTAAGGGAGGCTGGGCATGAGGAGGCCTGGGAGGCATACAGGAGGCCAATGGCCTCAGGTTAGTCAGGCCTCTTTAGCTGAGCTAAAAGAAGACTTGGAAGACTTAGAAGAAGGCTCTTGTGGCTCCTGCCTCGGCAGCCTTAGGCCTGTGCCCTGCAGAAAGCGGACAAAAAGGGTCTTGGTTCTGCTCACACTGCTGTTTCTCGTTCTCTGTAAACGTCCTCCTTCTTCTTCTTCATCTTGCAGAAGCCGTGGAGGCCACAGAAGCAGGCAAACGTGAACTGGGGCATGCCCTGGGCCGGGCTGGGCAGAGCTCACCAGAGATCTGTAGGGAAAGGTGGGGGAGAAAGAGGGACAGGAGGAAGGCAGGAAGAGAGAAGCAAGCTGGGTTAATGTTCCCAGAATCCTGTGGCTCCCGGAGACTGCCTGGGCCCTGCCTGCTACCTGCACCAGCTGAGGGAGCCACACCACTCAATAACGGCTCTGAAACCTCCATTTCCTGATCTGTGAGGAGCCAGTATCATCCCAGAGAAAGCCTCGCTGCTGCCTGCTTTGTCCCTCAGCCTCTGCCTCACCTCATCCACACACCTGTGGTTGGGAACAGGAAGTGAGCCGGCTTGTGCTCTGACTCAAGCCACCTCACACAGGTTCAAGGTTCCGTCAGTCATCCGAGGAGCCTCCTTCATCCAGCAGTGTCTACTTTGACAGGTGGAGCCCAGTCACAGACTCCGCCCTTCCTTGGCCGCCCAGGCTGTCTGGTCTGACACCCTTGGGACAATCTACAGGGAAGAGGAGCTCAGAGTAACACACAACAGAGAGAGTTCTTTTAGCCAACAAGCAGTTTTATTTGGTGCTCATGCCAGGTAAAGGGCTTGGGAAGTAGGTACAAAAGGGAAGGCAGACATCACCTTTCTTCCCTGGCAAAAGCCACTCTGAGGGGGAGGCTGAGGCTGGGTTTGACCCAGGGCGCACGATGTCTCCATGTCGGGCTGACTCTACCCTCAGCACAGGATCAGGCAAGCGCTGCCTGGCACCTGGCTGGGGATGGAGCCCTGGCTCTCAAGCTGAGAGCCCTTTTCTCCATTTGCAGCGCCCTGGCCTTGCCCACCTGCACATCCCTCAGGTCACCTCTCTGCCCTGAGCCTGCAGCAGAGGAGCCAGCGAATCAGCTCAGGCAGGGAGGCCAGGAGCTGAGGAAGGCAGGCACCCTGCATCCTGGGCCTGGTGGGAGGAAGAACTTAGGGAGCGAGGTGAGTGGAGGCCAACGCTGAGGGAAAGAGGCAGGCTGGGCTACGGCAGAGACTACAGGGAGGTCCAAGGCACACCCGCAGAGCAGCTCCCTGCGCGGTCTCTGAGGAACCTGGTGTGGACCAGGTGGCGGCTCTGGACAGTCCGCCGGCCTGGCCAGCCTGCCTCCTTCCTGCTCATCCAGGCGGAGCTGAGGCCCTCACCAAGCACGGCGCCCGCTGTGGAGCTGGGTCCCGTCAGGATCCCCCCTCACGCCTTCCTCCCCCTCAGCATCCTGGTAATGCATCTAATAGCTGTAATTAATAGGTGCAACGCATTTCCAATGGCCAGCTGGGTGGCAGGAGGCCCAGCTCGAGTCAGCATGGGTAGGTAGGCTGTTATTTAATAACCTGCTTTCCAGCACCATTTACACACCCACTCTGGCGGAGTATATATAGTGAGCAGAGAGCAACCTCCAGGATATATATAGGCAGAGCCAAGACACAACTACTATATTTCTAGATCCATCTACTGCTGCTATCTCTGGGTCCCTCCCATGGCAAACCTGGAGAGAGCCAGGGAAGAGACCTAGGCAGCCTACAGCCCATTCCTGAAGTTGTGTCACCATGGGCAGATGCTGGACCTCTCTGGGCCCTCGAGTGCTCATCTCAGTGTACCAGGAAGTTCATCAAGGTGTAACACACAGGCCCCAAACCTAGGGGACTTGACGGGCACTAGGACTCTTCAGGAAAGCTGGAGGGAGAGCAGGTGGGTACCTGGGCACCAGTGACTGAGATGCACGCACTTCTGGGCTGGGGATCTATGTCAAGGGTACTGGTAATAAACCATTCCCAAGGGGAAAAAAAAAAAACTTTGGAGAGAAATCCACAGGTACAACAGAGCTGATCCCGGGAAGGGACTCACAACTAAAGTCACCCGGCCCCACCCAGGTGGAGAAGCAGCTCAGGGTCTGATCCCAGGCTGGGAAGGTCCTCCCTATGCCAATGCCTATTCTTTCTTCAAAGAATGTTTCTCTTTGGGGTCCTTTGGGGAAGACGAAAATCTGTTTTTTTTGCTCAGTCCACTGCCACACAGGATGCTGCGGTAGGAGAGGAGGAGCTGGATTTGCACAGCAGAGTTGAAGGAGCCCATGAGGGCCGGACTGGGGGCTGAGGCTTGGATGCCTCAGTGGGATTCCTGTCCTGGCTATTCCTTCGCCCAGTTCCGATTCCGGGTCCCCTGGTCGATGGCATGGAGGCCACAGGGCTAGCTCTGGAAGTGAGGACACAGGGACCAGAGAATCCCATCCCATGTCAGCATCCTGCCTGCTGCAGGCACCTGGCGAGCCTGTGGACTGGGCAGAAGCCCTGACTGCTCCCTTCCTGTCTTTTACCTTATACTTAGCACTATCTGGAGACCCCCAGAAGCTGTGTGGAGGAGCCTCCCTGGCCACCCCCAGAACACTCCCCTCTCTGACCACTGGGCAAACCTCCTGTTCCCTGCCCCACCCACCGTGGGCTCAGCTCACTGCAGGCTCTGGGCCCTGGCTCCTCCCCAGCTCAGGTCCAAGATGGTCTGGGTCAGAGAAGCTCCTCGGGGGAGCTTGGTGGGAGCTGAGAAGAGACGCCAGGCCCCAGAGCACCTGTCCTCCCAGCACATCCCCGGGCCCTCACCGCACATCTCTCTCTGCCACACACACTCCAGGGACCCTCTGACCACAGCACGGGGTAAGGATGGGGCCAGAGGCTGGAGGCAGCTTGCACGTGGACGAAGTGGAAGGACAAGACTGGGGCAGAGCCTGGCCCGCACTCCTCGGTACCAGGACTTCGGCAATGCCCTCCATCGAGTGGGCAGCAGTGAGGGTGGAAGTGTGGGATGACATTCACGAGTGTGGGGACTTGTCAGGAACTCTGACGAACGAGATGGAAAGTGTCCTCCTCACCCCCCACGCCCTCCTCTCCCAAGGCAGAAGCAGGGGCACCTCCAGCAAATCGTCCCCAACCTCCCACACCCCCACCAACCCCAGGTAAAGGGCCAGAGAGCAGAGACCCAGGGAAGGAGGCACCCCCAGAACAATGTGGAGCCCTCCACCCCTCCCCTGTGCCCTCAGCACCCCGCCTCAGTAATTAAAATATGAATTCACCTTCCCTCCCTGAGCCATTCATCACAGCGAAGGGGAGCAGCTGCAGCTTAGGAGACCGGATTTGGGGGATTAGCTCAGGCGGTGGAGCAGACACACCAGGAAAAAGAATGAAAAGACGGGGTGAATTGGGTTTTCTCTCCTACCTCCTCCCTCTCCCTCTCTCCTCCATCCCCAGCCTCACACCCCACCCCTTCCCCCAAAGCCTGGCCTCAGCAGGTTTCTGGGAACTGTAGTCTACACGGAGGTGTTGATAAACAGGCAGGCCAGGGGCGGGTGGTGGCACAAACTACAGATCCCAGGACTTCTTCCCGAGTTGGCAGCAGCCTGGCTGGGCACAGGCCTCCAGTCTGGAAGAAGCCTGTGTTCTCCCTGGAGGTTAACTCCTTCTTGGGCTGCACTGCCAGCTCCCTGCCATGCATTGGGAGCCAAGCTCCTAGTTCGCCAAAGCCAGCCCCTCTCATTTCTTGCTTGCCTATAGAGAAACGGGGGAGGGCGGGAGGGAGAGAGAGAGAAAGGAAGGAGGCACACAAGCAAGCCCCATCGAGTCCACAGGTACTTGGGGCACATAGCTGGTGTGGGGTGGGTGAGAATAGCAATAGTCTTAAAATGTCCTGTGCTCTCATCCGGGGTTTGGCCCTCCGTGGCTGGCCCACCTTCAGAGTCACTGCCTAAGCATTACAGGAAGAGGGAGGGGTCACCAATGTGACAGGCAGCAGCACCTCAGGAACCCAGTGGCCCCAATTCTCAGGGCCGGCAGGGACCCCCAGAGGTCAAACTTCAATGCCATTGCCTTCTAAAGAGATTACTTCCGAGCCTTTGCATTTAGAGAGGAGTAGGATTTAGCAGTCAAACTCATTTCCACTCAAAATGGGACAAATCCCACCAGCGAGTCACCTGAAACTCAGTGTGGTTAAACCGGGCCCACTCTCCCAAGGGAGGCCTTATGCTGGGCCTCTCTGAGGACTGTAAGACACTCAGATTGCCCAGGGTATTTCAGTTTCAGCTGTGTGCAGGCAGGGACAGGACAGACACAGTGCTCTGATCAGGGAGGCTCTGATCAGTGTCTCAGGGAGAGAAGGCAGGAGGCCAGCTTGCCTATTCAGGGCAGCTCGACAATTACGTGAAATACATAATTGCATACCTCTGCCAGGCCTGCCCCACTGGCGGGGACCAACATGTAAAGAATGGAAAAGAACCCCAACTTTGGAGCCCCAGAAGCACCCCAGGCCCAGCAACACAGAGGGGGGCTGCTCAGGTGAGCTGCTCTGTGGTAGGCTGCTGTGTCTGTTTAGGACACCTCTCCTCTTTTACCCACCTTTCTCTTCTCCCAGCTCATGATTCCTCCCACTGATTTCGACTTGGCAATCCCTGTGTGCCTCGCTTTGCTGGGGCATCACAGAGGTACACTTTAGCGATGGAACACCCGACTTCTTCCTCACTGCTGGCCCCTTCCTGGGTAGGAAAGGAGCTAAAGTGGTCTTTGGAGCACAGAACATAAGATGGTCTCGTTTGGTTGGAGCCTGGGGCAGCTGACAATGGAGAGGCGGGGGCAGGAGCCAGCTATCTCCCATTTCAGGCCAGAAAACCGAGGCAAGCAGGAAACCTTGGCAAATTCTCCTCTCTGTCCCTCCCACCATTAAGCCGGGTGGGAGAGAAAGTAGCCAGGATCGGCCTCAGCAAAAACCCTGCTGGCTTGGGCTTTCTCCTTGCTTCTCCTATTGTTTTGAATTCCCCCCTCTGCTTCTGTTGGAAAAAGAAAACCAGTGATGGACAGAGGTTGTCTGGAGTTGGGCCCTGGGGCCAGTTTGTGGGACTGCATCCCTCAGGGCCCTCTGCAGGCAGAGTGTAAACAAGCACTGCCCAGGTCCTGAGCGCTCCACCTTGCCCTGATGTTCCCAGCATCCGGCCCGTGCAGTAAGTAAGCGCATGGTTTGGGCATCAATCTCCAGTTCAAATCCCAGCTCTGCCCTTTACTTGGCCACTTACTCAGCTCCCCTGTGCTTCTGAATTTGCATGAATAAAATGGACCAATAATAGAGCTGTCTCAGGGATTAAATGAGTCAGGACAGGTAAGATGGTTAGAATCATGGTACCTTGTAGGCACTTGGTAAATGATGATTGGGGAAATTAATGCCCCCGAGACATTATAAGTAACTTGGCTTCTGATTTTCAACATCAAATATAGTTCAGTGGCCTGTCTTAGACAGACTGGGGGCTGGGGAAGGGGTGGGGGAGATTCCCCTGCCACTCGAGACAGACTGCTTGCTTTACTTCCATCTGTTGGAGTCTCCCAGGATGGCAGGGATGAAGTCAGGCAGATTTAAGCGAGGTGGGAGTAGAAGTAGGATCGGAAAGGGAGCCAGGCAAGCTGAGCAACAGGCCGGAGAAGAGCAGGGCAGGCAGGGAGTACTCACACACCATACTTAGGGGAGAGGGCAGGGAGGAGGAGCTAGGGACCCTAGGCTCTGACCTGGGAGGAGAGGAGATGCTGCTTTGCTTCATTCACTCCTGACCCCTCTCTTTCCGGCTCCTGTTTCGGCCACTAAGATCTCTTCACCAGAAGGCTGAGGATTCTGAGCTGGCCAAGAGAAGAGAGAAATAAGGCCAGAAAGCAGAGGCTGTCACTGGAGGCACTAAGCAAAAGCCCAGGTTTTCGCGGCTAACCCTACACCCTTAACTCCAGCCCTTAAATCTCAATGTGTGCCAAGCCTCTGAAATGTGTCAAAGGGGGAAAACAAGGCCTTGGTAAACCTTGAGGAATTGCCAGCCCAAACGCCTCACTTCAGAGTAAAGGACCAGGCTCCGCAAGGGAAAGTGACTTGGCCAAGGTTACGAGGCTTAGCCCCACACCCAGGACTGTGAGATTCCTTGCAGAGCCCTCCCCTCGAAGACCTCCCTCTCATGCCCCTGGGTGGCTGGTCCCGTGGGAGGTGCAGCTGTGCAGAAGGAGCTTGCCCCTCACTGTAGCCCATGGCTTTTAGCCCTACATGAGTTTGGAACAGCAATCACATAGGAATGAAAAGCCATAGGCCACAGCAGAGCTGAGGGGTCCGGTGGCAGGAATCTCCAAAGGAAGCAGGAAGCAGGGGGCACTGGGGGCCTCATCAACCCCCTTGTCACCCATCCCCGCCTCAGACCCACCCACGTGGCCTCCCTCGAAGTCCTGGGCCTCCCAGGTTATATTCTCCGCCACCCCCCACCACCTGCCTGGCCCCAAGAACACTAAAGCCATCCCAGTAATGAGTTTCCAGTTCTTGGCCTACAAAGGCCCCACACAATGGTCCTCTCTCCGGTGTGAGGAGGGGTGGCTTCCTGGCCATAAAGGACCTCCTCTGCATTTCCTTAATTAGCTTCCAGCCCCCTCCCAGGGTCCCTAACTACCCCAGCCCCAGCGAATAAGGCGGGATCTTTTCAAGGCTGCTGCAAGCAGCCTGAGAGAGGCCCCAGAGTAGACTCCCTCTTTATGAGCCTTAACCCTTTCTAGTCCAGCACAGGAAGCAGAGGGGCAAAGGAGGGTCTGGGCACAGGAATGCAGAGACAAGGGCCTCCTTCCCTCTAGAGAAGAGAAGGTCTCCTCTCCAGATCCAGCTGGAGGCGGGAAAAGGGCCGAAGCCAAAATCCCCACATCCTGAGACTTGGGAAGGGTGGCTCTACTTGACGCCCCTTTAGCTGCGGGGATACGGAAGTTGGTACAGGCATCTCCGGGACTAGAGTGAGGAGGTGAGCTGGAGGGGACCAAGATCTCAGGACCCTACAAAAGATATGTCCTAAACACAAGTTTCGTGTCTGCTCCCCTCTCCCACAGAGGCTCAGCTAACAGGCCTTGGAAGAGGGGGGTGGCCCACACAGGCTCCTGCTCAGCCAGACGGAGGAAAGTCCCTGGAGACTCAGACCTCTCCAGGGAGCCGCAAAGGAAGGTGAGAGTCCTGAGGCCCAGAGCACAACCTGCCTGCTGGAGAGCAGCTGCCGCCACCCCCGCCCCTCACCTTAGCCCGTCTGGGGCAGGCTCCCTGGGCATCTGCAGGACGCTAGCCTGAGCAACCTTCTTTTCACTAGACCCCCTAGCTCCCCGACAGCTCACACACACCCCGGACTTACCCAAGTGCACCCCCGCCAGCTTCCCCCTGAACTCTGGGTCTTGGGTTCCCGCCTTGTTGCCTCAGTCCTTTCCTCCCGCTCTCCTGGGTCCCCTTCCGAAATCCCAGACCCAGGACTTGCAAAAGGCCGTGGGCTCCCAGCAGAACACCCTCAGTTCCCTCCCAAGGCGGCCGGCCAGGGGCTGGGACCGCGGGGGCTGCTCACCTTCGGACCTAGCGAGAGGCCCCCTCTCCTCCAAGCCTTCCCAATGCCCGCAGAGCCACTTCCTGCCTGCCGGGCAGCCACTCACTCTGAGCTCCACGCCCCGGCGAGGGCAGGCCG